ATTAAAGTAGAACAAAATAGTTAAGTGTTTTACAACTACACCGGGCATTCCCGGGGAAATGAGTTTGAAGTTTTGCCAAAATAATTCAACCGGTCGCAGCCGGGAAGATTACTCAAGAGGAAAGGGAGGCGCAGGCTCTTCGTCCGGGATGGGGGCCAGACCGTATGATTCAGCATTGAAGTCCGGATCCCGGTCGGCAAGGATCGCATGGGTGGCCTCCCGATCTCGTTTTTGGCCGGACATGAAACCGTAGGAGCCGATCTGGGTGATCATCTCTTTCCCTTGCTCCTCCCGGTACAGCAACTTGAAGCCCTCCATTGTCCTTTCCTCAGAGGAAGTAAGCACCCGGGCGGCCTCCACCAGGTTCTCCTCCATCCACTGTCTGGCCCGACCGGGCAGCTCTTGCTCCTTCACCCACGCCTCCTCCTTCAGGTGGGAGACCTCCCCCATCATCAGCGAGTTCTCCTCCTTCAGCTGGAGGACCTCCGCGTTCGCCCTACCGGCAACCGCCGAGAGGTTGGCCATCTCGTCAAGTTGCCGGGCGGTCAGGTCTTGAAGCTCCCGGTTGTGGGCTTCAAGCCTCTTCAGCTTTTCCTCCAGCTGAAGTGACCGGGAAGGGGAGTCCTCGGCAAGATTCCCCAAGGTTTCAGGCCCGACCTCACCCATCTGCAAAACCAAACATACTGGTTAGTACGGCAAGTAAGTAATAAAACGGAGGAAAGTGTACCGGGCGGATGTTACCTCTTTTAGCTTTCGCCCCATCTTGACCCAGAGCTCCTCTAGCGACTTTGTGGCCGGGACACTTTCTCCCCTCCTCCTCTTTGCCGAGGGGTGGGTAGTGGCGGCGTGCTTGGTTCGGACCTTCCCCTTCCCTTTGTCTAGGGGAGGGTTTACTGTGGTCCTTCCGGCCTGACCGGTCGGAGGAGTTTCCTCCTCGGAGTTGATCTCCACCAGCTCCTGTTGCACCGGTACGGTTCTTGGGGCAGCAAAGGAGGAGCCACCGGTCTTCTTGGTGGGGATGTTGAATGCTCTGAAGTTCATCTCTGCAAAACAAGCAAAAATATTAATCAAGCATGGACCGGTATATAGAAAGAAAGAAGGAAGAAGAGGAAAGGGGGATACCTGGGTGACTGGAATCCCCAGCTTCCGCAGTGTTGCCCAGGGCGGGTACCCCGTGCCCCGCTGCTTCATCAGCCCGGGGGGTACCCATGCCACCCGGTGAGATCCTCCAAATCCAGGCCCCGTAATGGAACATTTGCCCGGTGAACGGGTCCCCTTGTAAGAGCTTCTCCAAACTTTCTTCCAAGTCTGGAGCGTTAGCCGGCTCAGTGTATTGCGGTTTCAAGAGGTGGTCACTCCACTTTATGCCGGCCAGAGGGGAAACGGTGGGGAATTTTATAAAGGCAAATTTTTCCTTCCACAGCCGGTTGCTTTGTGGAAGGTCAGAAATGAATTGGCGACCGTTACGGCCCTTGAAATAGACATAGCCGTCGCAACCCGACTTACCGGGAAGGACTTCAAACAAATAGAGGAAAAAGCGAAGAGAAGGGTCGATTTTGAGATGGGAACAGATATTTACAAAAGCGTTAAGAAAACGGTGGGCATTGGGCGTAAGTTGCCCGGGGAGGATCTTGAAGCAATG